TTTCTGAGAATAACTTAGTGTACTATAAGTTTTAAACAATTAATTACCCATACAAATTTAAAGATCAGAGCATTGTAGCAAAAAGCAAAGACTTATTTTGCTTTTAAATTCAGGGAGTGATTGTGCTGAAAGATTGTTACAGAGCATTTAGAGCATTGCAACACTACTCTTAAAACTGTGTTTGAGGAAATTAGTTTTTGGCCATGGAAGTAGTAGATCAGTTTTAAGATGGCTAAGATTATAGTTGGTGTTACTATTGTTGAATTTTTTAAAGGAGGTACTCAGATTCAGGGGGGGGGAGATTAATTTTTTAGGATTGTGTACAGAAGGGTAGGTTTATCATGTGAGCGCCTGGTTTCAAGGTTTCCAATTTCAATTTTTCAAGAACACGTCCCTATTCAATATCATTATGACCGGGTGTTTATTAGACATGAGCGACCTGAGAATTCTCCAGTTACTACACAGAAATCTCCCACTAATGTTTGGTAGCCCTTCACTATTGTTTTAGTTAGACGTACTGGAGTCTTTTTCAAATTATTATTTTGTAACGTTTTCTTTACTCCTGCTACTAGAATTCTTAAAGAAAACCCTGTGTAATGAACTGATACTGACTTTACCCATATGGTCTTGAATTTTTTGCAATTTATCTTTCAGTTGCTTTCAACAAGCATTCCACAAGCACGATGGAATTACAACAGTAATCAAAGTAAGTAACAGGGTGTAACGCTTACATGAGGTTCCAGAGGGTTAAAAGGGATAACAGTGGGTTACAGGAAATTACAGGGGGTTACAAGGGATAACTGTGGGTTACAGGGGATTACAGAGGTTACAAGGAGTTAGAAGTGGTTACAAGGGGTTACAGGGGGATAGAGGAGGTTACGTGGGGTTACAGAGGGTTACAGAAGCTTACAAGAGGTTACATGGGGTTGCAGAGGTTACAGGAGGTTACAGTAGGTTACAAGAGATTACAGGGGTGGGGTTATAGGGGGTTACAGTGGGTTACAAGTGGTTACCGGAGGTTACAAGAGGTTACAGGGGCTTACAAGGGGTTACAGGGTGTTACAGGGGGATACAAAAGGGTACAGAGGCTTACAAGTGGTCACGGTGCGTTAGAACAAGAAATTAAGTAGCTAGTCTAGCCACACAGAACAAAGGGTGATTTCTTTAAAAAAAAATAAGCAGGAATTTGGTGTTCACCATGGAAATACAAAGTGTTTCAAACTGTTAGAGGGTAATTATTAATTTGGTAAAAATTTACACAATACAAGTATTATTGGTATGGTTTTTGGTTCGCGTGTTTTGAGAATAAGTAAGTGTTCTATACGTTTGAAACTATTAACTACACATACAAAGGAAGGGATCAGAGTGTTGTAGCAGAAGGCAAAGAGGCAGTTTGCTTTTTTAATATTATAGTTGGGGTTACTATCGCTGAGTTTTGTAAAGAGGGTTCTCAGTTGGGGGGTAGATTAACCTGGAGGATTGTGATTGATTAGAGGATAAGCTAGCTACGCACCTCAAAAGCTAATTTCTTGAAAAAAGTGTAAGCAGGAATTTTGTGTTCACCATCGAATTTCAAACATTTAGAGAGTAATATATTGATTTTGTAAAAATTTACACAATTTAGGTATTTTTACTATGTTTGTTGGTGTAAGGTTTTGGAGAGCAATTAAGTGTACTATGAGTTTCAAACTGTTAATTACACAGAGAATTTTAAAGATCAGAGCGTTGTAGCAAAATTCAAAGAGTATGTTTACTTCTAAATTCAGGTAGTGATTGTGTTGTTTTTTGGCCTTGGAAGTTCTATAGTGGGTGTTGTTGTAGTTGAGTTTTGTTGGTTATAATAATCCCATTCGAAACTGGTCAGTCCCTAGGTATACCACTAGCTCAACCCACCCATAGATTAATCCTTGAGGATTGTGTACATAATTTCATTTGTTCTTTTTGTCCCAGTTGTCCGAGTTGCTCTGGTTGTCCCAGTTGTTGCGGCAGTTGTGTTGGTTGTCCCAGTTGTCTAAGTTGTCCTGGTTGTTTCTGCTGTCCTGGATGTCCTAGTTTCCTCGGTTGTCGTGGTTGTCCCAGTTGTCTTTGTTGTCCTGGTTGTCCCATTTGTTGTAATTTTTCTGGTCTATGCTATCGTTTTCATAGTCGTGGTTGTCCCACCTTTCCCAGTTGTTCTGGTTCTTCTCAGTTTTTGTTTTTGTTTGTCTTAGTTGCGTCAGTTATCCCAGTTCTGCCGGTAATCCGGCTGTTGTTCCTTTTGTCACTGTTGTCCTTGTTGTCCTTGTTATCAACGTTTTCCCTGTCATCCTGGTCATCTCGATGATCCCATTTATCAGAGTCATTCCAATCATCTAGGTCATCTCAGTCATCCAGTGATCCCAGTCAGTCATCAAGTCATCCCAGTCATCCCAGTCATCCCAGTTGTACGGGTTGTCCCATTCATGTCAGTTGTCTCGACCATCCCAGTCGTTTCAATTTTCCTGTTCACCTCGGTCATCCTGGTTATCCTGGCTGTCCATGTTCTCCCAGTCACCCAGGTTGGTTTAGTTATCCCAGCTATCCTGGCTATTCCAGTTGTCCTGGTTGTCCTTCACGTCTTGGTTGTCCAGGTTGTTCTGGTTGTGTTGTTTGTCCTGGTTGTACCCATTGTCCCTGTCATCTCAGTGATCCCATTGAGCAAAGTCATTCCAGTCATCCTTCCTAGTTGTACGGGTGGGAAACTACCTTTTGTTCTTTAAACGGTTAAAAACTTAACGAAAGAAGTGTTTTGTTTCATGAGGAAGTTTATTTAGGTTAATCAACAATGCTTCAAAAGTATACTGCTGGTAGGCTTCACTGCAGGCTTAATTTTCATTTTAAAAATGGTGGCCTCCATGCTGCATTTGTTCCGAGCAGGGTAATATCAAATTTCAGCTTTCTTGAATTATTGTTAGAAGAATACCATAAAATAGTATTGAAACACACTTAAACATTTTTTAATATAGCAAAGTGGATTAGACTAATTTTAGGAAGTGAAAATATATGTTTCACTATCGTATATGTAAGTCTTCTGAGTAAGAAAGAAATTAGCTTTTTTTTTAAATTTAAAGAACTGGTTTTTAGCGTTCAAAATTAAAACGATAACAGTACAGAATTTCAGAATAGCTGACAAATAACAATTATTGAAAACAACCTGCACTTCCAAAAGTAACACCACATGCATCTTCTCCACACTGAAGTTCGTTTCAGAACACCCTTGATATCATAGAGTGATTCCAATTATTATCTTTGATCAGCGACTGTGATGGAAGGAGTTGATGATCATAGAGACTGAGCCTGTGAATAGCAACCTCTGTCAGGTAGTTCTCTATCTTGGAAGTTTTTACATGGAGATGAGTTTCATTGGTAGCATCGGGCACCTAATGGCAGAATCTTGGCTAAAGGAATTTCTGGAATTGATTACTAAAGCTATTGCATGCAATAGCCGTAAAAGCTCATCTCCTCCTTGATGCAGCCCTTAATACCCTTATCCTTTCTAAAGCCCGGAGAGTGTCCATTCCTGATCTTGAAGTAGAAGCTAATGCCGCTGATGTGAATGGTGCAAGAGCTGAAGAGGAGGCAATGGAACCTCTCAGAAGCTTGTGTTCTGTACGAAGATTTAATAGCTGGAGAGAAATCAGGGGAAGAAGTTGGCTCAGTCAGTGCAATCAGTGAGATCAAACATCTCCTCCAACGGCAGAAGAAATCCCTACGAGACAATCACACTGCTAAAACTCTGGTTGCAGTACATCAGCATGATTGACATTCTGAGAAAATTTATCAAAGCAGAATGTACTGGACACTGGTTACAGCATCTTGAAGCTCTTTCTGAAATGCTTCCCTATATGATAGCTTCTGGTCACAACCTTTACAGCAAATCTGCTCAGTTGTACTGTATTGTATCCTGTTGTCTACCAAAAAGCAGTTGATGGATTCCGCATAATAGGAAGAAGTGACCAAAAATAGGAGGGGCTATCCACAGACCTTGTTGTAGAGCAGGTGTTAATGCGAAGCATGAAGATGAGTGGTGGCTTAACGAGAGGAAGAGGGATGACAGAGCAACAGTGGCTGGTAGGCTCCTTTCGATGCCAGTCTGTGCTGAGATGAATTGTGCCATGCTGGATATCATAGGAGTCTCTTACAGTACCAGCGAGCAAAATAAGGACATTTCAGAGTCTAATGCTGAAGCACGTCAACGTAATTTCAATAAAGGTGTAGATGTAGATGGAGATGAAGATGTTTGAAGGCCTATAGTCACTAACACTACTTTTATTAAATTTTTGAAACTTTTCTTATCAAAGTACCCTTCAGAAAAAATCTAATTCTTTTTAAAACAGACCTTTTCTATTGCAAATAGAATTCAGCCTTGTTTTCATGTCACTGGTTCAGGCTGCTATATTGACCTGAATTTTTAGTGTCTTCCCATGCATAATTTTCCTAGACTTTTTTAAAATGTGTACATTAAAGAATCTTTCTTATTCCAAAACTGAAGAAAAACCTTCTGTTGCAATTAGTGACAGGTCTATCAGTACCTTGACTGGACTACCAGGGAATCGCAGTCATTCCAGTCATCCTAGTCATCCCAGTCATTTCTCTCTGTTATTCCAATCTTTCCAGTCATTCCAGTTCTCTTAGTCATATTTTCTCTATTCATGTTATTCCTGTTGTCCCACTTTATATATATCTGCAGATTATGACCTTTGACTTTTGTCACTCTCTTTTAATTGTATATCCTGTGATTTCTGGTTTTTTCAGCATCACGATCTGGTGACTTGATAGCAGAGGAGTCAGAGGGATTGGCAGAACCAGGTTTAACATGCTACCCTATTTCTTTTTGAGTTTTTGCATTTATGAGAACTGTCAAGACCTCGATCCTGTCATCTCCGTTACCCATAGCTTAGTTACCCTGTCATATTTCAATTTTCTGTCACTCTAACATTTTCCGTTAACAAAATGAGCTGTTGTTAGCGTACATTTTAGCTCATCATTCAATGCAGCAATGGTACAATAGATAGTTTTTGTTTGCAACATTGATGTTAGTTGATTTTTGATAACTTGATGGTAGTTACATTTTAAGTTTTACAGTGATACCAAGCTTTCATGTCTTTTTAGCCTACTAATGCCAATTCAAGAGGACACAACTTTTCAATCTACCTCTTCTTCTTTCTTTTAGCGTGCTATCTCTTTCTGTAAAAGGATGTGAAATAGGAAGAAGGTTAAGGTTAAGCACGTTGTCTCTCTTGCCTTTTCCATCAATGAAAAAGAACTGACAAAGAAAATAATACTAGAATTAATTTTACTCTCTCTTCTGACCCCTGGGTGTTTTTGACATTAGCTTTTTTTATCTCTGCACAGTTACTATCTTGGAGCCTGGATCCAGACCCTGTGTATTTCTTGCATCTCTGTTTCGCGATCTCTGCAAAATATCATCAGTCCCCTTGCAAGAGTTGTTTCAAGAAAGAAATGCTTTCCAATGGATGTTCTTGCACTAGAAAGCGTTGGATGCAGAAATGCCATAAGCAAGGAACTGAATACTCTGGCTTACTATGATCCAAGCAAAGATTTTAGTTACCCTCCAAGTGAATGTCTAAACAAAGGATATAGGAGCTACTCTACTTCAAGAGAAGAAGCCTATTGCATTTGCCAGCAAAGCCGTAACAGTTGGTGCGAAGTCTGTAAAAGATTTTACCAACTTAATGAATGTAGATATAGATGTAGATGCAGAGTCACCATATGCTAACTCCAAAACATGCTAACACTCATCTGTAGTGTGTGGCTGAGGGTGTTTTAATAACTTATTTATACAGCAAAAGTTTTGTCGCAGAAACTGACCACAAGCTTCAAGCTGAAGCACTGCAACACTCTCTCCCTAGGCTACAACGAATGCATTTACGTCGTCAGCCCTGAGATGTTACCAGTAAGTGCCAACCAGCCAAAGAAACTCATAGCACTGGGAAAAGATTTGCCGGAAAAGTTGTAAAGTAAACTGGAGTTGGCCATAAAACAAACTGGTGTGGTAAAAAAGAAACTTGATGTGAAATTTGGTGTCACTAAGTGGGCTCCGTAGAAAATTCTTGACAAACTGGACGCCACTCTGCTCAAACTTGGTGATAAACTTCATAAGCACGATGTGATGGTGGCGGGCGATTTTAATGCCCTGACTTAGGGAGGAACAAAAACTTTGAAGAAAATACCACCAAAGGTGTGAAAGAGCACAGAATTGGACTATTCATACTGCAGTGATACTGTAACTGAGTTACAGTTACAGAGTACATATACTGGGCTGTCTCTAAGACTTCAGGTTGCTGGGTATATGGAATTAGAAGGCAGCAAATTGAACAGCTAGGAATTAAGACAGAATCCATCTGGAAGTTGAGTAATCTTAATTTTCAGTGGACAAAAAACTTGTGCTAGAATAATTTACACAATATCACATTCTTTTTCCCTTATTTTTTCAAGGGCTATAGATATAATTCGTTGTCTATAATAACAGCAAAGACTATTTCTCATGAGAGCCCAACAAAATAAATGTCAAATTTCATAAGATTATTGTGAAAACACAGGTAAAATTCTGAAAATTTCATGTGTAAGATGTCATTTTGTGAAATGTGACATTTAGTTTCTCGGCTCTCATAAGAGCAGATAACTAATTACATCTATCACCCTTGAAAAATGTAAAAAAGAATGTGATATTATTTCTGGTACAAACATTTTGTCCACTGAAAATTAAAAGTACTATTGAATACTACTATGAACAGTGTATGATACTTTCATAGTAGTAATTTCATGCCATACAGGAATAGAATATACATAAATGTAATAAAGGGAAATCCCAGATTGGAAAGATAGGCTTTAAGTTGTTGACAGATTTGATGTTAGATTTGTCAAAATATTATACAGTGAAACCCCACTTTAAAGACACCTGCTTAATGCGTACAGCACATTATTACGGACAGTTGTCTTTGTCTCTGGGGAAAAAAAGCCTGACATTTTCTCTAAATGTAACCTACTTAATACGGACACTCCTTTAAACTAGGACACTTTCTATGGTGCCCTCTGTGTCTTTAATAACAGGGTTTGACTGTACTTTTGTTTCCAATGAAAGTAGCTAGGGGGAAATCGCCAGTTCCCAGCCCTTAATGACAGCCCTGATATGTACATCAAAGTAGTTGATATACTTTATTTGGGGATTCAGTCTGAATGAAGTAGATAGTGGTAATGTATGGGATGGCTTAAAATCTAAGGATGCATTTCTGATTGGGATGATCAGGATCAGTGATCCAAGGTCACTAAGATCATAGAAAATCAAAGGAGCCGACAAATCTAAACTGGGAAATGCTGATTCATCTTTTAATTTGATGTATCTCAATCCAAGTGTTCTCAGACCACTGATCGTGATCTGGATCATCCCAAAGACACGCACCCTAAGACACAAGACCCTGATTTGAAGACCAAAATGTATGCAGCTAAATGACTTATTGTTTTCAAACTTTGAAAGAAAATGAAGCACACATACACAAAGTTTTAGTGCATTCCTTTGGGATGATCCATATTAGGCTTTATTGCCCAAGATCACTTGGATCATCAGAGCTAGTCACAAAGGAATGTTGCCTTTGTGACTTAAACAAAGACTTTAAAATTTTAATATCAGGTCAAACGTTTTAGAGACCTGCAAACGGCCAGATGGGTAGTGTTTCTTCAAAACATAGTTTTAAAGTGTGCTTTTTTTAAAACAGAAAATGGCCTTTAAGCCATTATTAATTTTGCAGTCTTTTAAATGCTGAGTTCAACATACTCTCATTATATGGGAAGTCTTATTCAATTGTGTTCACAGAATTAAAATTTTGTTTTTAATGTAGAGCTTTTACTGGAAAATAACTAATTGAAATGAAAACATTAAGGGAAGAAAGCATACATTGTAATTTGTTGACTACTGAAGTTGAGATGGTTAACACAACTTCAGTACTCTTCAAATTTCATTGTAACACTAGACAGAAACTGAGGATTGTTCAGGTCATGCCTTCTCAACCAACTTGCTTAATTTTTCCCTGTGCCATGCGCATCTTTTTTCTTCCCTAATATTGAGATTCTTGTTCATTATTATTTGCAAATGGGTAATACATGAATCAACATTGGGGTGGGCATAACATGACAAGTGCTGCAACAAATGTGACGAGCATTGTAGTTGTTAAAACAAATTGAAAACTACTGGTATTTAATAACAAATCATTTAACAGCCTTTTCTCTGTTGTGTTCAACATTAGAGCAAGTGAGAATACTTCATATCTCATGGAAAATTCAGTCAAATGACCCACTCTCCTCTTTCAGTGAACAAGTGGAAGGGCATTGGAATAAAATAATATATTTTGTGCTTCTGAACAATACTGTTTAATATTTTTGTAGTGATTCTGGTTGGTTTAACATTCATGATCTTTTATGTTCACTTGAACAGATTTCCCTTGAAACGTTAATGCTCTTTGAATTAATTCTGTTCCAAGGCTAAAACTTTTTCCACCCTCACAAAACTCTTGTGAAAGCTCTCTGAGTGTTATGGCTATTCTCCGTGAAGCAATATGCTGTCTTTTTATGGCATGTTTCCACTTGTAGCGAGCTGCACCTTCAACTATGATCAGGGACCTCCTGGGCATTGGAACAGCCACTTCCATATAATGTTCATCATTAGAGAAAGTGAGAATGGTGTCTGATAGAAGGTTTAGTGTAACAAGCCGCTCTCCCCAAACCCAAAAGTCATCGAAGTGAGGATCAATGGAGGATCCTCTTTCTGGAATGTAGTCTAAATTACAAAGTTCCACAGGCTGAAAGTCAGACAATGCTGGCACTTGTATCCACATACGTTCAACCAACGCTTTGCTGAACTCGGGAAGTCCAGTAAAATTATCAAGCTTTAACTTTTTCTTCTTAAAATTCACTTGAGGTCCAAAGTCCTGAAAGTAATGATAAATTACACATAAATGCAATAGATATTTTAATTGAAATACAAACCATAAATGAAAATTTTACTGACACATCTTAAACATACGATGCTTATTAATTTAGTTACCACAGGTTCTTGGAAGCAGAGAGTAACCTTAATAATCTGTCGTGTGCAGGAATAATCTGGAAATAAATATTATCTGACCGTACTTGCAAACAGAAGGATTTGACCATTTTAAGTTTACATCTCTATTTCAACCCAAGACATAAGAATAGGTGTACATGTACTGGCAAAGCATCTCTCACTCTTTATATCCACTTCTTTATAGGAGGTCTATAAATGCAAAATTCGTCAAAGTCCACGGACTGTGGAGCAGTGGAGATTGGTGGGCTGTAGCTATAACTACATCACTGGAAATTTTTTTGCATTTATTTTTAAAAAGTAATTCTAATCTTTGTGTTATAAGCAAACACACTGTCTTTCTTTGCTGCATAAGTACATGTAAGTTTTGCAGAAAACTAAAAGAATGATTGCAAAAATTTAACTAAATTTTCTCAAGGAATTTGATACAAATAAACGTTTTTCTGGTTATTTGAGAGGCACTAAATTAAACTTTTTTGCTCTACATAAGCTTGTGCCTATGCATGAGCTAGCCTCACCAATCAAAAAACAAAAAAATCATAAGCTGTGCAGTCCAAGTAGGAGGGAGGGGTGGGGATGGCAACTACCTAACTGTATTCAAACCATAATAAACAAAAATTCTGGCCATTGCAAACCACAAATCCCAAAAAGCAGACAAACTTTACCCAGCTTGTGAACCTGTCTAGTTAATGGACCATTGTAAGGTTGCGCATGAGATTGGGTCAGAGCTTTCTTTAATTACAATCCCAAATCTCGCCCCAATTTTGCTCTAAAATCCTGAATACCAAGCTTAAAATAAGGGAAATCGGGAATCCCGAAAAACCTATTGGTGACCCTCTACTGGGGATGCCAGTGCTTCTATAACTGTTGAAAAGAGCTGAAATCATGTAGATGCTATAGATCTTGTAGATCTTGTAGATCCTGCAGATCCTATAAATCCTGTAGATCCTATAGATACTATAAATCTTGCAGATCCCCTAGATCCTGTTGATCCCATAGATCTTGTAACTCTTACTTGCAGATACTGTACCGTAAACTGCTAGATCTATCGGACCTACGGGATCTTTAAGATCTACAAGATGTACAGTATATATAGGATCTTCAAGACTTAAGGGATCTTGTAGATCTTATAGATCCTGTAAATCCTATAGACCTTGCAGATCCTGCAGATCCTATACACCCTATACAGGGCTGTCATTAAGTTTTGAAGCAGCCATAACAAATGAAGATTCACCCATAACATTTAAGAAAAATATATAGTGCCACTTTAAGTTTCCACTTTGATCACCCGTAACATCAAGTGAGCTCAGCTGTAAACAGGTGTTGTGGGTTATGGCCCTTAATAACAGCTCTGCTGTAGATCCTATAGATCTTGCAGATCCCATAGATCCTGTAAATCTTGTAGATCCTATAGATCCTGTAGGTGCCATAGATCCTGTAGATCTTACTTGCAGATACCGTAATGTAAACTACAAAATCTATACGATCCACAGGATGTACAAGATCTGCACGGTCTATGAGGTCTATAAGATATAATTGTTATAGGATCTACAGGATGTATACCTAGCTGTATCTCTTAGATGTATGTTTAGGGACACAGTTTCGGGACATGCTTTCATATAAAATGAACTTAAAAAACAAAAATGTTATCAACTTTACCTGTTTGCGTCGCCCAGATTGCGACGGTTTCCAAATCGTCCTGTCGATTTCAGCGACGATCGTTTGTTCCTCAATATCAGTAACAAAGCCAAGAATCACGGAGACCCCCTCCAGTACACCTTCCTGTGTTCCGGGTCCCTCGCATTTGCGTTCGCGATGTGTGCACTTTTGATCCACCTGCAATGTGCGCCCGCACCGGATACAAAACGTATACTGCTGCATTTTTTTACTGCGTTCTTCCTCTAAAGCTTTTATTGATACACACTTGAATTTGTCCTTATCTTCGCAAAGTAAGCACTTGCGAATTCCCGTACAACCGCATTCTGTTTGCACGGCGGCCGCCATATTGGAAAATCAACAACAGCTATATGTAAGACAAGTGTTTCTAACAACTATTGTTATTGGTCGAATTTCATATCATCCAATCAAATGCGCCGTTACAACACAAAATCTCCAAAAACGCGCATGACATTTGTGATACACACACACACGTGTTGATATTTTGCAAGTGTTTACTTCGAAGGTTTTGTGAGCGATGTGATGGTTGTTGCTGTACGTCTTATCTGTATTTTTTGCTAACATTTTGCGGCGTGCACGATGTCCACCAGTGTACCGGTTACCATAGAGGACATAAAATCGCGGACTGGTTACGACGACTTGTCAGAAATCCGACAACTAAGGTAGGCACCACTCGGCATGCTCTAGACTTGGTACAGAAGCTAACTTGGGCGATTTTGTATTATCTTTAGACCTTAGGAACTAGTTTTGCAGTTTTGTCGCACACTGTTTACATTTAGAGCTTGTAAAGAAATATTCGTGCCTACTTTTTAGTCTCTGCTGCTCTACAGAGGAGTCAAAGATTATTATTTTCTGCAACTTAACAGGGGGCTGTCAGCTGTCATTATTCATTGTGCCCGCTTGAAAGCTTTATTATTAATCATTCAAAATAAGGAAGTATTGACCGATGAAGCTGTTGATATCAATACGGTATTGGTTTCAATCATTGATATAAACAGAAAAAAAAAGATACACAATGCATACAGTGCAGTAGCTGAGCTATTTTGGCATTGGATAGCTGGAGAAAACGGCAGTAGATTTTATACGTTATGAGAGGACAAAATAACTTAATTATTGCTGCAAAAACATAGCAAGAATAAGACAAAATTACCACTTGAAAGATGACCATTACCACTTGCAGGATATCTGCTAGAATAAAGATCCTTCCACTTCCTGAAATTGTTGAAAAACAGGCAAATGTTATGAAGATGAGAACTTAACTTGTAGGTACTGGTAAGCATCTTTCAAGCTTGGAAATAATAATTGTGAATGAATAATAAAGAATTTGGATTTGGCTTTGAATGATATGAAGAGTTTATGCTGATCACATCTTCCTGGTTCTGCACAATTCCTCTTATCATACTGTAATGGATCCGCTTAGGTCACAAAGCAGATTAGATATGTTAATAAGAAAATTTTAACCTTAAGACCTTTCAGACCTTGTCTTCTAATCTCTGATTCGAGACAAAACAATATTCAAACATACACGTTGACCATTGTTTCAGACTGAAAGCCAAGGTGATCCAGGATGATTGGTGGGGAAGAAACCTCTAATTGCGTTGTTTCTGTTTCGGAATTGCCTTAATATTATTTGAAACAAAAGTAGAATTGAATAGTACATCAAAAGTTACTTACACGCATTTCCACCCATGCTTTCAATTTTCTTCCATCTTTAATTTTCGGTGGGTGT